TTCTTTTTTATAAGCAAGGCTTTTATTTTGCTCGTGACTTGTTTTGCAAAGAGCCCTGTCATCTCATATTTAAGGATTTGTTGTTGTTTGGTTTTGTTTTCCTCCAGGTTTACAAGTGAGGCTGTGAGGCCTAGAGTACTCATTTTTGTGGTGTTTCTTCTCTAAATTCTCTGACCCTTTTTTTTGTGAGCCTTGTTAGCATCTCTCTCAGGCAGGCTGGAACCATGTAGAAGGAAAGGTGGCACCTGAGAGTTCCCAGGTACCATGCTTGTTATTGATACTTCCAGATTCATGGTTCATGTTTCAGAAGGAGGACAGGCAGAGAAAGGATCATCTGAGCTCTCTGATCCAGCCATATCTGAACCCAGAAGCTCCTCTGGACTTCCCAGGTTTATGAGTCAGCAAATGTCCTTTCTGCTACAGCTCTTTTAAATTGAGATTTTTGTCATTTACAAATAAATAGTGAATACAGGATTTGAAATGAGAAATGTAATAGTTGATTGACTTGATGTCTCATGTCAACCCCTGTGGCTCTTGGTGGGAGAAGTTATTCCCACCCAAACCACTGAAGACTCCAGTATAAGAAAATGGAGAAAGAATGTCAGGAGACAAAAGCAAATAAAGCCAAGGTGTCTACTTTGTCCATGTGACATTGATACCAAAGGAGGGAAGGGAAGTGCTGGGAAGGAAAGGGCTTGGTCCCTGGCAAGGACTCCACACCCTGCCTGTACCCACAGACCCAGGTGAGGATGGGCACTCCTGCCTTCATGCTCAAATGTTGCATTTCCCAAGACTACCCTGGCCTGCCATGCCCCCATCCTGCACCTATCATACCTATAAAAACCCTGAGTCCCTAGCAGGCAGACCCACAAGTCACTGGACATCGAGAGGAACACATCGGTGGGAGAAGACACAAGTGGCTGAATATTGAAAGGATGTCTAGGGGAACACGCTGGCAGAAGAGCACAGGATGGATGCCAGCAGGCCACCGACTGACGGAACAATGTGGACTTTGACTGGGGTAGTCAGAGGAGAGCCCAGGACACTCAGTGGTCTGATTCCAGGGGAAAACCACCTTCCCACTCCATCTCCCTTCTGGCTCCCACATCTGTTGAGAGCTACTTACACTCAATAAAACCTTGCACTCATTCTCCAAGCCCACATGTGATCCAATTCTTCTGGCACACCAAAGCAAGAAACTCCAGGATACAGAAAGCCCTCTGTCCTTGCGATAAGGCAGAAGGTCTAATTGAGCTGACTAGTGCAAGCTGCCTACCAACGGCTAAACTAAAAGAGTACCCCAAAACACACGCCCACTAGGGCTTCAGCTGTAAACATTCACCCCTATTCATTGCTGTGGGCTTGGAGCCCCACAACCTTTCCGTCTGCATGCTCCCCTAGAGGTTTGAGCAGTGGGGCACGTAAGAAGCTAGCCACTTCCTGTCACGTGCCGTGAGAAGAGAACAGGGGAAACTTTCCCATTTCAACATGTCTCTTTGTCACTGCAGCTTCAGCTAAATTCATAAAATTGCTTTTATTTCTGAGACCTGGAACTTTCTTTGGGACAGTGGAAGTGGACAACTTTCTGAAAATTAATTTTCCAAATGTTCATTTGCTAAGGCTAGTTCACTGATAGCCAATTTGTGAAAAGCCAATTGTGAGCTTTAATTTAAACTCCAAAGTAAATAAAATAAATCAGAATTACCCAAAATATAACATATAATAAATCAAGATTAAAGAAAAATGTCCATATTAATACTCAGAATTATTTTTCTGAATGTTATATTTGGTACCCAAAGATGAACATTTCAGTTAAGTTGGTTAAGTCTTTTTAAATGTTTACAAAATTACTACAAGCAAATTTGGTATATTTGGCCAATTGATCATTCAGTGACTAAGCTTCTTCCCTTGGCCAAAACCTGAAGTAGTTGACTGCAACCACTGATGTTCTTCACAGGCTTATTTGAAACACTTGAATTTATACCAATAAGCAAGGTTTTTTTGTCGATAGGGCAAGAGGTCCAATGCAAGTAGGAAAAAAAAAGTGAAGACAAAGGACGACACCTCCCATAGGGAAAGGTCTGTACAGGTCACAGATATTCAACACTGCCTTCCCCTCACCCCACTTGCCAAGTCTCTGATCTAATATAAGCTGCCACATTTTTGAGATAATTTCCGTCTTTTATAAACTGTTGTGGTTAAAGGGTCTGTTTTCCAATACAGATTCAGTCTTTTACTGACAGTGAATTCGTGTAAGTCAGAAGAAGCTGTTACACTGTAATAAGGAATCCCTCCCCAAGTCTCAACATCTTAATGCAACCATGTTTTGTTTCTTGTTCATGTTCCATGCCCGATGTAATTGTCATTACTTTACAGATCCTATATGATCTATATTAACATACAGCTATACTACCTGAACCCCTGGCTGCTTTGGTCAGCTCAGCAGAGGAAGAGGGGGCACAGAAAATCAAACAAAGGCTCTTAAATACTTCCACCTGAAAGTGATAGTTTTCATCCACTCACATTCCACTGGCCGAAGCACATCATGAGGTTACACTCCACTTCAAGTGGGCAGGGGATTGTAGTCCTCTTTGTCCCTGATTAGAAGAGAAATGAATGTTGGCAAACACTGGTATTACAAAACACAGAAAATTAATTGTTCTGTGTCTCTGTTAACTCATCCGTAAAATGAGGATGATAATATCCATGTCATAGAGCTATTTATGAAATGGAAAATGAATATACAAAGCCTAGCATTATACTTGATAGTCACAAAACAATAAAATTAACTATTATTATTATTAGAATTAATATTTATCTTTAGGATAGATGATTACATTGAGTAGCATCACTCTAGGTCTTTCAAAAAGTATTTCATATATAAGATCAGATTAATTTTATTTGGAATAAGTTGCATAATCACTAAATTTGTTTCTTCTTTTCTGTAAATGACATCACCTACCCATTTACTCAAGCTAGAAATTTTGGCACTATCCTTGATGCCCCTCTTTCCTCACCTCCCTAATTCAATCAATTCACCAAGTCCTGTGAATTCCGCTTTATGAATAATTTTGCACTCCACTGCTCTCACCTATTCCACATTACCATCATTGTTATGTACTGAATTTTTGTGTTCCTTCCCACTCCAAATGACTGTGTTGAAGCCCTAACTTCCAATCTGACAGGGAGAGATGGGGTTTTTTCAGGGGGAAATGGGACCTTTGCGAGATAACTAGATTTATATGAGGTCACAAGAGTGGAGTAACCATGACTGGATTAATGTCCTAATAAAAAGAAAAAGATACACCAGAGCTCTCTATCCTCTATGTAAGGACACAGTAAGAAGGTGGCCAAATGCAAGTCAGGAAGGGAGCCCTCACCAGAACCTGAGCAGTCTGGCACTCTTGGGCTTCCAGCCTCCAGAACTCTGAGAAATAAATGTCTGCTTGTTAAGACACCCATTCTGTAGTGTTTTGTTGTGGCAGGCCAACCTGATCAAGGACAATCGTTTTTTCCATAGACTACAGCAACTCCCAACTGGTTACTCCAGTATTCATTCTGCTCTTCTCCAACTTTTATTCACATAGGAGCCATAGTGATTTTTTTTAGCTTAGACATTAAGCTTCTTTTTGGATGATATCCTTTAATAGTTTCTCATTTTATTTTTTACCAAGGCCTACAAATCTCTCTATGGTATAAGCAAGCATTCTGCATAAAGTGACATTCTAGTTCCCCAGGGATGAGGCAGTCATCCATATCAGACTCCCTACCTTGAATTTCTACAACTACTTTTATTATTTCTTAAAGAGAAGATGGGTTGGTGGACAGGTAGAAGTAAGAGGAAAGAGAAGGCTTAGGGAATCCCATCAAATATTTCCTACTCCTTTTTATCTCCTGAGTACCTTCCTAATGAAGAAGTGGTTCAAACAGTCTCTAGTTAGGTGTTTGAATGTGAAAGAAGAAATGACAATGTCTTTCATTTTGTGCTTCAATTTCAATTCATTGTTAGTGGCTTCTCAAAGGATTAAGGTGAGAAGGTTAAATGGGGCTCAGAAAAAAAGCATTGAAATTATTTAGTAATGTCTGCCACTGGTGAGAAAATAGTGAAGAGTGACTGGTTTTGTCACTATCATCTGAACCCTCCAACCTGGATGATAGCCTTTCTCTGACATAGGAGGAATCATCTTCTTTGAAGAGCTTTCTCTCAAAAACCATTAGAAATACTAGTGACCACTACTTTCTGAGAGTGTCAAAAGGTTTAAATGCTGATAAAGCTTAAAGAAAGTGCATCATAATGCTAGACAGGTGTGACATTCATTCCCTGTCTTGTAATTTGCTTTCACTGATGGAAATTTTTATTTCTCTCTTATGTGGAAGAAGAGTAACAACAATGTTGTGGTTCAAACAGAACTTTTTTTTTTTTTTTGAGACAGAGTCTCGCTCTGTCGCCCAAGCTGGAATGCAGTGGCGCAACCTCGGCTCACTGCAAGCTCCGCCTCCTGGGTTCACGACATTCTCCTGCCTCAGTCTCCCAAGTAGCTGGGACTACGGCGCCCACCACCACGCCTGGCTAATTTTTTTTTGTATTTTTAGTAGAGGCGGTGTTTCACCGTGTTAGCCAGGATGGTCTCGATCTCCTGACCTCGTGATCCACCCACCTCGGCCTCCCAAAGTGCTGGGATTACAGGCGTGAGCCACCGAGCCACTGTACCCAGCCCAAACAGAACCTTGTTATTCAAAGGTCTTATGGTGTGATGGGTAAAAGCTTGGGAAATGCCTGTGGGAAATTAGCAGCACAACTTGCTTACTCACTTTCAGCCTATTAAAATTTTCCTGAAACTTATAAATGGAAAGATGTTTTGTTCCCAAGAGTCTGCTTGTATGTTGCTTCAGTTTTTAGAAATAATTCAAGAAAGTAAGCACAGGACCTGGGAAGTCTGCAGAAAAGTTTCAACTAAGATGACAAACTCAGTTAACTTTATTATTTTGTTTCCTTACAAAGCCCATGGATCATACCACACTGTTCTTTCTGCAAAACAGTTGAGAATTACCAGTAATTGGGACTGTTTACATTCAATGCCATCCTGACAGAAGCAGCTTTATTATATTGCAGAGGGATAATTAATATATGATGGGGATTAAAGATTGCATCACAGCAGGTAAGCCTCTTGTCTGATATGTCATTTCACTGATTACAAAGGAATGCAAATTATATAAACAGAAATAATGTTTTTCTCTTATGCTAATTTTAGCCTAGCCCACCTGTGCATTTTCGATTAACTGGAGAAAGGTGAAAAATATTAGGTTTGCTAAGGTAGATTTCTGCCGTGTCAGCCCACCTCATCTGATATTAAATGCAGTTATATCTTATTTAGACTCTGTTTTTAACCTTTTTTTAATTCCTGAAAAGATAAAATTCAAGCAAATTACTCATATGAGCTATGAGATTTAGGAGACGTGACATGATTTGGATAAGGTAAAAGGCTTGTCTTTCTTGACAAATTGTACAAATTAGAGCAATATTCTTGGCTATTTGACTATCGTGATATTGTCGTGTCTTAGGCTTGTGCTTGTTTGCAATAGATCTTTAATACCTAATATTGTTAATTGTACAACATATCAATACTCTCCTTTGCCTCTATCACAGGCCAAGGCAAGATGTAATAAACATTAATAATTTTAGATTTATTTCCACTGTAGCAAGAATGGGAAAAAAGTGTCATCTGAAATGCCATTTTCAAGCAATTGCAGTGATTTCCTGGAACCCTACATAACAAGTCCAGATTCAGTGGGAAAGACTGTGAGGATCCATTAGCAATGCTTACGATGAGCAAGTCTTGTGATGGGGTTACCCTCCTTGCATTAGAATTTGCAGTCTTCTATTAGGCCATTAGCCTTTGAGAGCAAAAACTATATGTTTCTCATTTTTGTAGCCCCAGTGCCAGGCACACAGTAGCTGCTCCAATAGCAAAGGAGTCTGAGTCAGGCTGCTTGGGTTTAATGGCTGTCTTTGTCGCTTACTAGCTGAGTGAACTCTTCATGTTTATAACTTAACTGTGGTTCAGTTTCCTTCTCTACAGAAAAGGCATGAGTTCCTCATTCATAGGGTTATAATAAGGGTTACATAAAGTCATGCGTATCCAAAGCTTAGCATACTGCCTGAGACATAGTAAATACTTGAGGAATGCAGGTATAAATTAACATAGGAATGAATAACTTTGCAAGGAAACAGAGAGAAGGATCCTAAACAGTCCTGCTGGTGTATGCATTTATGATTCAAAAATCCTCAATTGTTAAAATTTGGGTCAGAAACGTGTTATTCCAGGTTGTTGGTAAATGTGAGGGCCCTTCTGGGTTTGGAGGTAGAACAATAAACTGAGAGGCCAAAGGAGCTGCAAATAAAATTGACTTCTCTGGGAAAATGATTTTCACATTTATACCTACCTGCCTTTTGTCCTCCCATGCATTTCTCCAGATGTGGTACCAATGTGATACAACTGTTGTTTATTCCTTCTTTGACAATAGCAAGGTAGTATGAACCTGCCAGTGAGGGCTTCAAATATAGCTCCAGAGACATTCACCACTACTGCCTGCCTCCATGGTTTCCCATTCCCTTTCACAAATAAAACATGGCCTCATGCTTCATTCTGAGCTTGCATTTTACATACATCATTTGGATCTTCTCTGCAAAACAATGAAGTGGGCGTGGTAATCTTCCTTTACAAATAGAGAAACTGAGGCCTAACATGAGGAGCAATTTCCCCGTAAAAATCCTTTATTGTCAAGGTCCAAATGGCTGATGATTCATGCCATAGACATCCCAAACCAGCTGGTAGGCAGAGCTCTGGGCATTCCAAATGGAAACGTGGAACAGACACAGATCACCTGGCCACACAGACCTCAGCTCTAAAGACAGACAACTACTTACCTGTTAAAGTTTCCTGTGCACTAATTTTTAAAATCTAGAGATAGATATTAAGTAGGTTAAGTGACATCTTAAATTAGCCCATGGACATTTGAGAACAGAATCATTTTTAGAATCTTGATTCTGAGATTCACTGTTGGGCTTAAGTCACTGCTTCTGTGATGGTTGGTTTTGGGTGTGAACTTGACTGCATTAAGGGATACTTATCTGGGAAAGCATTATTTACTCTCCATGCTTCAGTAGATACTGAGCCCTTCCCTCTTCTGCCGAAAGGGAAACCCAGGTGATTTGGCGTTTGATTAGAAATAATTGGGCTGCCCCAGGTGTGTCGGTGAGGGTGCTTCTGAGGGAAACTGGGACTAAATGAAGAAGATCTGCCCTCCATATGAGCAGGCACGATCCAACCAGCTGGGGGCCCCAAATAGAACAAAAAGGCAGATAAAGGGCAAAGTCTCCCTGGAGAAGAGCCCGGCCTGTAGACAGACATCAGAACTCCAGGTTCTCCAGCCTTTGGGCTCCAGGACTCACACCAAGGCGCCACCGGGCTCTCTGACCTTCAGCTTTGGACTGAGAATTACACCGTATAATGCCATGGTTCTGAAGCCTTCAAACTCAGACTGAGCCGCGCTACAGGCTTTCCAGGTTGTCCAGCATGCAGAAGGTCTGTTGTGGGACTTCTCAGCCTCCATAAGCAAGTAAGACAATTACCTCTAATAAATCCTTTTTCATATATCTCTCTATACATCTGTAGCTTCTGTTTCTAGGGAGAACCCTAACTAAAACCCATTCTCAAAGGTAACATGCATAAGAATTGCCCAGAGCAGGGGGATGGAGTCTTGCTAACATGCACATTGATTTAGAAGAGGTAGGGCCTAGGATTTTCTGTAGTTCTGAAACACTTCCAGGTGATGTTGATGCTGATGGACAAGGAGCACACTATCAGTTTTCAGTCAGGCTTCCACAAAGTGCTTTCTGCGGGTGCCTTGCATCAGAATATGCACACATGAAGAGAGTCTGCCTTGGTTAGTGGGTCTCAGGTGGGTCTGGAGAGATGAGGGGAAACTGCCTGTTTAAAATGCATTCAGGTGATTCAGCTACATATTAACAAAGCATTGTGACATTAATGAAAGTGTTTTCCAAACTTGCTCCATCATTAGAACCACCTGCTGGTTAAAAGGCACTGATTTCCCAGGCTTTCCCCCTTACAGACTCAGTTTTAAAGATCTGGCTTATCTCATTTTTATCTATGCAATTCCTGATAATAACTTGGTGAGGTTATGGAATTTGTCCAAAATCTAACGTAGTAAATAGTAGTCTTAAGTATATGTGTAGACTGATGGAGAAGAGTCAGAGGGGAAGAAATAGTAAATGAGAGACAAATAGGGAATTAGAGACTTCATTGGGAGATATTTGCGTGAGTGGACCTAGAGTACTCACTACCACTGGGCTAGCTTTGGAAGGCTTGCTCACCCAACAGAGTTGTGCAGTGGCTCCTCCGCAGTGTGCCTGGGCTTCAGGAAGGCAAGAAGCAGGACTTGGGTTCAGAGTGGTGCAGGCTAAACTCGCGACAAGACAGTCACATGGACTCATAACTGCGTCAAGAACTTCAGTGAAGGAACTTCTAGTCTCTACCATACTGGTAACACTTGCCTTTTTTGTTTTTGTTTTTAGTTTTTTCTTGGTAAAAATAAAAATTTGCACAAATAAAATGGAAACTCATGTTCTAAAAATATAACTTTCCTAGTAATCCTCTACCCTTTTGTATCAACTTAAGTCAATTATAATCCTTTTTATCCCCCAGTTTCTACACACATAAATTTTCTAATATTGGCAAGACTTATTTCAGAGAGGGGGGAGGCTTATTAAAGTTATCTTAAGGATCTAAACCAGCAGTGATACGTGGAAGTTAGTGGAGGACAGATTTCTGTGGACAGAGTAAGGGAGAATGGTTTAAAATACTCGTATAATAATTAGACCAGAGAGAGCAAAAATGTTTTCTTTTAATGCTAGCCCCAATCTATTATTGAGCATCTAGGTAACTGTGCAGGGAAGTATTCTAAGCTGACATCTAATCAGTGTTTTTGAAAGATCTTGGTAGCCAAGTCTTTTGTGTATTATATCTAGCAAGAATTGTTTCACAGTTGTTTTCTAATTGTACTCTGCGTAAATATGTGCTAGAGTCTGGGTGAATGTGCATCACTATGCCCAGGGATTTGGTGAGGAGGAACCAGAAATTCCTCCTTTGTTATTAATATTCTTAATAAAACTTGATTTTCATGCTTTGGGCCTGGCTCTGTTGAAATGATGGTTATGGAGTTTAAGAACTGGAGCAGAACAAACACAATCCTACCACAGATGCCCTTCCAGAAGGAAAAGGGATGAATGAGGTCATGCCTCTTGGCTGGTATTAGTCCCCCATTTTCTGTAGAACTCAAGGTGCTGCTCCTCCAAAACCAAATAACATTAGAGTCTCCACCTGTCATCTGAAACCACAGCACTCAGCGGAAGGCCCAGCTTGTCAGCTAATATCCACGCCCCTCATTCAGTGCATGCTGACTCTTCTAGCTCATCCTGCCTGCTCACCCCTAACCTCCACAGACCCAACTGGTTATGGTTATCCCACTTCAGTTGTCTAGTTAACTCACCCCAAAGAATGATTTGAATCTTTATAAAAATCAAATCTCCTAATTCCTCTGTCCCTTCCTTCTCTCCTGCCTTCGACCCCATCCATCAGATTGTGGGACTCAATTATCTTCCCATAGTTTTGGTCTCCTTTCTTTCTTACCCATGCAAAATTTAGATTTTACATCAATTTTAAAATGGGAGAGAAAATAATTTTTAAAATGAGGTAAATGGCAACTACTCATTACCTACTTGTTCTAGACTTTCCCGTATAAGGGTAGTTCTAGATGCTTTCTTACAGATTTTGAATTTAATTATACTGAGATTCAAGAATGCAGATTATATTTTGATTATTTGTTAAAACTTGTTATAGTAGTTAATCTTAGCAAATGTTTTATTGGTGGGCTTCGGATGAATATGAATTCATTTAGTTACACAAAATTTGCATAATGCAAATAAGTTGTTTATCTTTACTAATTATTTTTGTCAGCTTTATCTCTAAATTACTGAGAGCTATGTGAAAGCCTAAGGGTATGTTGGTAAATTGTCGATTTCTTAATTATAGTCGCATTTAGCATTAATGTATCATCTTGCTAACTGAAACTTTGTGATTATGTGATGATCTTCCTTGTCCCTAATATTTTTTACCTAAATACTATTTGGACTGATATAAATACAAACTCCCCAATTTTTTTTTTAGCTAGTTTTTTTAGCATATGCTTTCCATCCTTTCTCCTATCAACCTTTTGATTTTCCTATGTTTTAGCGTGTTCCTTTGCTGCATAAAGCAGAATTTAAATCTGCCTTTCAAATGACAACATAGTTGATCAATCTTAGCTGTGATTACTATTGTTTTAAACTTTATTGCTATTGTCTCATTTAATGTTCTTGCTTTTTGTATTAGTTTTTAGAAGTTTTTCTGACTCCTTCTTTGCTTCATCTTTTATTTTTGAAAATTCCATTTCTTTCTCTACTATTTTGAAAATTACATAATCCATTTTTAGTCTCAAACTTGACATTTCCCTATGTATTCTTAATTTTTTGAAGCCTCCAGTCAATCACAACTTGACTTTTTTCCTGAGCAATATTGCAACCTTAGAATGTTTAAATTCTGAATGTCTAAATTCCTTCCTCAATTCCATAGTTTAGAAGATTGTTTAAAGGTTTGTTGTGCTGAACTCTATATTTTTGTTTATCTAGAAATATCATTTGGCCTTAAGAGATTTTTGTCACAGACATTTCTATTCTAATTGACAGCTATTTTCTCTCACACCTTGGGGCATATTTTTTGAACATTATGTTGTTGTTGTGGGCCTTTTTCCTTAGTTCAGCTAGAGATGAGGGTCCTTATCACACAGCCACGAAAAATTAGGCTTGTAGACAACTTGAAGGGTAAGGCAGGCTTTTATTGTGTTGAAAAGGAGAAACAGGGACTCAGGGGAGTGAAAACCCTGCTAGTACTAGTACATGCTTCCCTCCTTGCAGATTGAATCCCAAGTTCCACCCAGGAAGAGGAGGGGCCGGGCTCCTTCCTGCTGCAAGGGCCAGAAATTCTGTGTCTTGGTGCGTATTCCTCCAAGTGTGCAGGCTGCCTGGAGTTTCTCTGGGGACCCCCTTCCCGCCTGGCTGGCTCATTGTGATGAACGTTTCCTGATTTCTATTGTTACTTTAAAGAAATCTTCTAATTATTACTCCTTTTATAAATGAATATTTTTTAGCTGCTTTTAAGATCATTTTCTTTAGTGTTCTATAGTTTCACTACACATTTCTAGCTATTGATTTGTGATTTACTTTCTCAGAACTCCTTGTGCTTCCAGGATTGGAAAATTCATGTTTTTTTAATTTTTTATTTTTTGCCATTATTTTGATGAATGATCCATGTGCAGTTGAAATAAAATATGCAGTCTGACGTGTGTTGTAATGTTCTGTACATGTCAGCTAGATTAAGTTGTTTGATAGTGTTGTCCAAGTACTCAATGATTACTAATGTTTCTGTCTACTTTTTCTCTCTTTTTTTCTTTTTTTCTTTGAGACGGAGTCTTGTTTTGTAGCCCAGCCTGAATTACAGTGGCGCGATCTCGGCTCACTGCAAGCTCCACCTCCCGGACTCATGCCATTCTCCTGCCTCAGCCTCCCGAGTAGCTGGGATGCCCGGCTAATATTTTGTATTTTTAGTAGAGATGGGGTTTCACAGTGTTAGCCAGGATGATCTTGATCTCCCGAGCTCGTCATCCACCCGCCTTGGCCTCCCAAAGTACTGGGATTACAGGCATGAGCCACCGCTCCAGGCTGACTTTTTCTCTCAATTTTTGAGAGGAGTGTTAATCTCCAACTATAATTGTAGATAGATCTATTTTCCTCTTAGTTTTGTCAGTGTTTTGAAATTATTAGGTGCATATATACTTAAGACTTCTATGTCCTTTTTATAAACTGACCCTTTATACCATTAAATACTTTTTATCTGGAAATTAATGTAACCCAAAGTCTAATATGTCTATGTCTTATATAAATCAATGTTCTCATTATTAGTGTTTACATGCTATAATTTTTTTATCCATTTACTTTTAACTTAATTGTGTTATATTTAAAGTGCATTTCTTTCCAACAGGATGTAGTTGAGAGTTGATCTTGCTTGGGACAACCTGTCATTTGAAATTGATCCAAAAGATGTAACCAGTTTACCAGTCAGATTATAATCTTTTTATTTGGTGATTTGGAATTTGAGACTAGGAAAGAGAAAGTGACTTGGTCAAGATCACACAGCTAGTAATTGCAGGTATGAGAATAGATTTAGGTACATGATGCTCGACTCTGTGGTAATCTAGTTGCTACACAGACCTTGTCTCATTGATTTTGGAGGGTTTCCTAGTTTTCCCACTTCTGATTTTCAAAGTTGTGTTTCAACATCATGGTCAGTAGGATCAAAGCCATTGTTCTGGATTCATGGAAAGCCTTTGGTTTTCCCTGCTTTAGTGACTTGTTCAGGATATTCAGTCCTTAGCATTAAGCAACTCCTCTTACAGCTTCAAAGATGTTGGATAACTCCAAAACCTTTGTAGTGTAAAACCATCCAGTTCAAAGGCCAAGTGTTCCTTTAAAGGAAGGAGAAAAGTCTACCCAGATGCACATTTGGCCCTTGACCTCTTTTGATGTTTCTCCTTTGAGAATGCAGGTCCTGTCGATTTTCAGCCCCTCCATACTGACAGCGCTGCAGAAATTTCTCTCAAATTCTCCATTTCTTTTTGCATCTATTTAAAAAAAGAAAAAACTTTAAAAATCTTTCCTGAATGAGGCATTTGCTATTTTTTGTTAAAGGTTGTCGTCATGGATATGAAAACTGTTGTCTGCCTTTTTGAAGTTGAAATTACGAATTGTTCAGAAATTAAGAAAGTTCACTTTCTAATTTACTTAAATTTGTATTTGCTGTATCTGAGCTACAGTATTCACATACAGGTGAATATCAGCTATACATACACATGGGATTCAACTGATACACCATATAGTCTTAGAGCTCAATCTTAGGATGAGAGACATCTGCTTTCTACTTTTGTCTTTGACTAGTCACTAACCGTTTGATCTTGGGCAAGTAACTTCACTTGGGTTAGTAACTTAATTCTTGGTCTCAGTAGCCACACCTGTTAAATAAAATAGTTGACATTTCCTGTCTCTTTCATTCTTCAGCTGTATTTTATTGCTAAATGTTTAAAGAGCAGCACATTATTTTGTATAACTATTTTTGTGCAACATATAAAACTGTGAATTTTGCCCCAAGCTGAAATTACAAATATCTCAGAATCTCCTCTATAATTTAACATGTAGTCTCTCCTAAACTCAATACATTGTTTTCATTATTTTTATACCATTGCTTAACTAACTTTGGGAATTTGGGGAGGGATACCTCATGCAGATCAATGTGCATGCCTTTCAGAAAACATACTTCATTTTCTTTGTGTCATTGGCCTTTCCTAATCATGTCAGCAATGTACATGTAGACTATGCTACTGCAGTGGTGGAGGCAGGAGTCAGTGCCGCAGATAGCTTACTGATGGCAACATTGTCTGCATGAAATGGAATCTGCTAAGGGTGGGGAAAAATATCATGTCCTTCAAAATAATGCCTTATTTGGGAGAGTGATCATGGTGAGCTTTGAAGTAAACTTTGATTTGAAACTTGGCTGCCATGAATTAGCTTTGCATCCAAGGAATAGAGACTTGGCTAACTTGACCAAGCTTTCATTTCTTTATATCCAAATAGGAATAACAGAATCTAATTCTGCATGTTTGCTATATGGTTAAATGACTTAATGTATGGTGAAGCACATCTTATGTCTGGTATACAGGTCATGTTCAAATGTTCTTTCCTTTTTTGTTGTTACCCCTTTAAAAAGTCACAGATGGCTGTAGTCATCAATTATGATTCTCAAAAAGTTGTTTTTAACATGAATTACTGCTTCCGGCTCTCTATTTCCTTCTCTTGAAGCAGTGTCATAGGATTCATAAGTATGAGAGAGATCTGCCCGGAATATGTGAAGAGAATTTGGAGGACACATTGGGAACTGCATGGATCTCACCTATAGGAGATATTACCCAACATGACAGGGACTGAAAAGAAGCAGGTAGCCGTCCCCTACCCCCCACCTTTTTTTTTTTTTTTTTTTTTTTTGCTGTCTTTTTCTGGGCTATCTGTGCTTCCATCTCTATTTCTCTTTGAGATTGCTCTATTATTTACAGATCTGAGTTAGACATAACTTTATATCCTTCTTGAGTTGCATTTTTCTTTTCTATGACATAGCATTTTTCTATTATTTTTTTCCTACCTGACTTCATTTTCTCAGTATTGTCTTGCTGCTTTCTTTTCCTCTGCCAAACCTGCCAGACCTGCATGTTTATACGTACGAAGGGCTTGGATCTCACCCCTGTTATACTCCAAACACGTTTTCCCAGGACGGTTTGATCTACCGCTTTGTTCGTTACCTCTCGGTTTTCTGCCCTCCCTAGTCCCTGAGCTCCAGGTCAATATATCCAACCTCATACTTGATATATGCAGATGAACATCTAATAGGTCCCTCAAGTTGAAAAAGGCCAAAACAGAATTCTTGGTCCCCCAGTCTCCTCCCATCAACTCTGTTTCTCGCTTGTAATTCAGGAAACCTAGTTTCTCAAAAGCCAGAGAATCATTCTTATTTATTGCTTCCCTTTACCATCACATGAAACTCATCAGCAATTTCTGATGGAAAAAAATGTAATCTGAAGCCATTTTTACCTTTCTGTTTCTACTCTGGTCACCCATATGGGCAAAGTTATCATCTCTCCCCTAAACTTTTACCAGGCCTCTTAATTTGTCTTCATATAGCTATTGCTGTCCCCTTAACAAAACTCACCCTCCATACCTCCTACTAGAGGGATAGTTTTAAGATTGAAAACCTTCTCCGATCATTCCCCTGCTTAAAACTCTTCAGTTGCCTGTTATTACATTGAGAATAATGGCTAAATTTTTTTTTTTTATTCTAGCACATCAGGCCCTACCTGATAAGATTTCTGCGACTTCTATAACCGAAAATGAATGGTATCTTTCCTCTCTTCACTATAACGTTCTGGACACCTTCCAGGCTTTCATTTTGTTCTTTTATTTCTCTCTTTTTTTTTTTTTTTTTTAAATAGGCAACACTCTTGAAAGCATCAAGGCATTTGTATTTTGTCTCTGGCTCAAGTCCCCACTCCGTGGATCTTTGCAGATCTCTCTCTTCATATGAGACCATTACCAAAGAACTCAGAAGAATAAATTATAAAATGATAAAGGTTAGCCAAAGGAGTGATATAAGGGTATGAGAGCATGAATGCAATTACTGAGTTTATTTCTAATATTCTTACTTTTAAAATATAAATTTAAAAATATCATTATGTCAATGATAAATGTAATCTAAAATTAAAAACAAGCAGAAGCCACTAGCAATACACAGTGGGAAATGGAAATTGAAAAGCAATTTCAGGGACTTCTACTTCCAGACATGATGGAGTAAGACCAGATTCCTTCTTGCTTTAAATAACAAAATAGATAAAACATATAAAACAATGATTTACATGCAATCATTGGAAAACATAGTACAGGAATGTAATCCCAGAGCAAAGAGAAGAAACAGAAGAGAGTCTGTCAGCCTGCAGAGAGTTTCCAAGTAAAAACACAGGAGACAGAATTCAAAAGACAGTAAGGCGGGTATTCATTCGAGCAGAACACCAGAGAAGATGGAATTCACGGAGGGCATTCTGGTAATTTGCAGAAGCATTCCCTCCGGTTTTTGGCTGAGTACTGGTTTTACAGTGTATGAAAGGGAACTCGGTAAGGCCAGGGATATAATTTTTGGGAAGCAGTTTAATAATGCTAGAAGCTCCTTGCAAGCTGGGAATATTTTCTGTTCTAATGAGTTTGGAAAGGCCTCCTTATACATGGGCATTGGTTCAAGTCCTCACATAGTTACAATGTCAGTATTTGGGATAAGTTAGCCTGAGACCAAAAGCTGCCTTAGATCCGTCCTAACAAGGCTTAAATGCAAACCTTAATACATTAACTTGTTTCAGAGTAACTTAACTGAGTACTAGAGAAATAGAAGTCCCATAATATTTAAAGGAATAATAAAAAATTACCAGGTCAGGTGCAGTGGTACACACTTGTAGTCTTGGGAAATTGGGAGGCTGAAGCTGGGGGCCTTATTATTATTATTATTATTATTTTATTTTATTTTATTTATTTTTTTTTTTGAGATGGAATCTTGCTCTGTCGCCCAGGCTGGAGTGCAGTGAGCTGATATCAGCTCACTGCAAGCTCCGCCTCCTGGGTTTACGCCATTCTCCTGCCTCAGCCTCCCAAGTAGCTGGGACTACAGGCGCCTGCTACATCACCTGGCTAGTTTTTTTGTATTTTTTGGTAGAGACGGGATTTCACCGTGTTAGTCAGGGTGGTCTTGATCTCCTGACCTTGTGATCGGCCTGTCTCGGCCTCCCAAAGTGCTGGGATTACAGGCTTGAGCCACCGCGCCCAGCCTTTTTATTATTTTTTAAGGTAGGATCTCGTGCTGTTGCCCAGGCTGGAGTGCAGTGGTGCAATCACAGCTCACTGCAGACTCAACCTCCCAGGTTCAAGTGATCCTCCTACCTTAGTCTCACAAGCAGCCAGCACAGTAGGCACATTGCTATCATGCCTAATTTTTAAAATTTATTGTGGAGACAAGCATTGCTTTGTTGCCCATGCTGGTCTTAAATTCTGGCCTCAAGTGATCCTCCCACCTCAGTCTCCCAAAGTGTTGCAATTACAGGCATGAGCCACCCGTCCTGGTCACTGGGGGATCTTTTGAACCCAGAAGTTTGAGACCAGCCTGGGAAACATAGTGAGACCCCATCTCAATTTTAAAGAAATACCAGACATCCAAAGTAACAGGAAAATATAACTCCTAGCCATAAGAAACACTCAACAGAAACAGACCCAGGCATAACAGATAACAAAATTAGCAGGCAAGAGTGTGAAAATACCTGTTAGAAACTATGATTCATGTATTCAAATAAACACACACAAAAATGTAAATGTTAAATATATACTTATCCCATGACATCAATCCTACTCATGAAATGAGAAAATTTTAAATTTTCAAGATAAATGAAAATTTATGTTGACACGAAAATCTGTACTCAAATTTTCAGTGATTGCATTGTAATAGCCAAAAAACCTGGTAACAATGTAAATATACATCAACTTATAAAGGAATAAGTAAACTCTGGCATACCTATACAATGGCATAGTACTCAGCAATTACGAGGAACATAATATACATGCAACAGCATGGATGAATCTCAAACTGATCATCCCAATGAAATAAGCCATTTCAAAAGGCTACTTATTATACGATTTTTTCTATGACATTCAGAAAAAAAATGAAACAAAAAATAACTTACGGGAACACAAGTGGAATCAGTGGTTACCAGGAGCTGGGGACAGGGGAGGGCTTGACCATAAGGGAGCCAAGAGGGGTTTATTGTGATGGAACTAGTCTATCGATTTTGATAATCCCATGATTATACCTTTGCCAAATGTAAACAGAATCCAAAAAAGTAAACTTCATGTAAATTATATATCATCAAATTTGATTTTGAAAAATACTGAAAATATCAAGTGTTGATAAAAATATGGAGCAACTGGAGCTCTTATTTCTTCAGGGAGTGTGTTAATAGCTACTTTGTATAGCTACTTTGGGGGAAAAGGGAACATTTCTTTTTGTTGTTTTTTTTAAGTTCCAGGATACACATGCAGGTTTGTTACATAGGTAAATGTGTGCCGTGGCGGTTTGCTATACCTATCAACTCATCACCTAGCTATGAAGCCCAGCATGCATTAGCTATTTATCCTGATACTCTCCCTCCTCCAACCTCACAGCCCCCAGTGTGTGTTGATCCCCTCCTTGTGTCCATGTGTTCTCATTGTTCAGCTCCCACTTATAAGCAAGAATATGTGGTGTTTGGTTTTCTATTCCTGTGTTAGTTTGCTGAGGATAATGGCTTCCAGCTCCATCCATGCCCATGCAAAGGAGATGATCTCCTTCCTTTTTATGACTGCATAGTATTCCGTGGTATATATGTACCATATTTTCTGTATCCAGTCTATCATTGATGGGTATTTGGGTTGATTCCATGTCTTTGCTATTGTCAATAGTGCTGCAATGAACAGACACACGCATGTATCTTTATAATAGAATGATTTATATTTCTTTGGGTATATACCTAATAATGGGATTGCTGGGTCAAATGCTATTTCTGGTTCTAGGTCTTTGAGGAATCACCACACTGTCTTCCACAATGGTTAAACTATTTTACATTTCCACCAAAAGTGTAAAAGTGTTCCTATTTCTCCACAGCCTCACCAACATCATTGTTTCTTGATTTTTTAATAATCACCATTCTGATTGGCATGAAATGATATCTCATTGTGGTTTTGATTTGCATTTCTCTAATCAGTGATGTTGAACATTTTTTTCAAGTTTTTTGGCCACATGAATGCCTTTTGAGAAGTGTCTGTTCATGTCCGAAAAAGGTAACATTCCTTATGAAGCTGCATATAAACCTACCTACAACCCCATACTCCCACATTCGTCCAAATGAACAAAAACATATATTCAAACACTTATATGTAAACATTTATAAACTATCCATAAAAACAAAGTAAACACACACACACACACAAACACACACCAAAAACAACCAAAAACTAAGAAATCTCAGATGTTAAACTGTCAAATAGCTATACAATAAAATACTACTAATTAAGATACATTAACTGCTAATATAGGAACAATATGGATGATACTGAAGGGTGCCTGCCATAAGTTATGTACGTTCATATACATTGTATAATTTTCTTTATAAAAATATCTAGAAACTATAGAGCCTAACAATAGATCAAAGTGGGGAAGGATGGAGTGTGCCTGCAAAGGAGCATGAGTGACCTTGCTTAATGAAATTAGTCTGTGTCTTGATTATGGTGCTGGTTTCAGGAGTGTTTTTATCTATTTGTTAAAACATGTCAAATGAGTGAATTTCAATGGGTTTTATTATCAAATTATATCTCATGTTGATTTAGAAAATAG